CTATGTATTTGAACAAAAGATTACTGATTTCTTCTCTAAATTTATTATTTTAGTTTGACCATAAAATGTTCATTAACTATTAATTTCAAGTTAAACTGGAGGACATATATGTATTTTTAATTGTGCTTTCTAAAAATAATTTTTGATTTCCCTGTATTTGGGCAAAATGAAATGTATATATTTATTGTAGATTTACCTCTCCTTCACTCTCTTCCTTTTTTTTAAAGATACATTCACATTTTTGTAGGATGTCTGTAACAAGTAGGCAAAAAAATAGATATTAATCACAGTGATTTTGAGTCATCACAAATGCCAATATCATTGTAAAATCATTATAAGATTAATTATTAGGGGTGCCTGGGTGGCTCGGTAGGTTGAGGGCTGGACTTTCGGGATTGGCTCAAGTCATGATCTCGTGGTTTCATGAGTTCGAGCACTGTGTTGGGGTCTTTGCTGACAGTGTGGAATCTGGGATTCTGTCTCTTCCTTTCTCTCTCTGCCCCTCCCCTGCTCACGTTGTCCCTGTCTCTCTCAAAAATAAATAAATAAATAAATAAACCTAAAATAAAGACAAATTGTTGGGATGAGCGCTGGGTGTTGTATGTAAGCCAATTTGACAATAAATTATATTAAAAAACAAAAAATTTTAAAAAGACTATTCATTGAGAGCTCTGATTGAGCTTAAATACTTAAGCATTTATGGTTCTGTTGACTGGATCTTTGATGTAGACCTCAGGAAGTTCGTAGTTCCTGATTTGCCTTTTAGTAATGAAAAAATATTATTCTTTTAAATAAGATAGTCTTTTAAATATTGGTTGACCTAATAACTAAATGATAACCAAAAATTCTTAGAATCAAGTTTTAACATATTTTTTATGTATGCAATTTGACCAAGTTAGCAGAAGAATTCTGAATATGTATACTGGGCACTGGTCACCCTTAATTGGTTTTGGCTTTCAGGATCCAAATCATAAATTATTTTGAAAATATTTTGCTTAAAGGAAAAATACCATTATTTTAATATTCTAAAAACAAAGAATGGGCTATTATGAAAAAAAAAGAACTAAATTTACCCATTCTATTTTTGTTTGATGACTTTATTTAAACAATACTTTAATAAGCTTTCAAGGGTATTCTAGAAAGTAGAATTTTCTCATAACTGGAGGCTATGTTTTTGTTCAACTTTGCAACCACCATTTAACATAGCGTATTCCTAATAGACAGGGTTTTATACATTCTTGTTGAATAAATACATGATTTAAAAGTTCTGGGTCCAGGATACCTTACATAGGATATGGGGAACACAGCACATTCTTATCTTAGAGCATCTTGTTACATATCTTCTTTCCTTTCTTTGATGCCTGTGCTAGCTCATTAGCTTTGTTATTCTGGGTAGCATTTGAAATAGGTTTTGTTTTGTTTTGTTTTGTTTTGTTTTGTTTTCCAGCAAATCCAATGAAAGAATGAAGAATATAGAATATATACAATTGTGTTGTTTAATCTCAGTTATATATAAGTGTACTACTACACTTTACTAAACACACATCTGTTTGAGTATCAGCATACTTGGGGAGAGTTTAGAGACTTAAATGTTAATGAAGACATCAAGTTGAAAATTTTCTGCAGACAGTTTGAGTTCAATAGGCTTGCAGACAAAATTTGAATCCTTCCTCTAAACTTCATTGGAGCAGATAGTAAGGTTTAAAATTCTACAAGAAATTGATAATATTGGAACAAAATTTTGTTAAATGTGCAAAACTACAGGTCTTCTTAAAAGCTGAAGGGCAGTAGGTTTCTGTGTATAAACAGTTATCTTTGCATCTCATAGCTAATAAAATAATTGTAAAGTAAATTGAATTTCACAGTATACAGAGACATAGATTTGTAGTAGATGCCTTTGGTGTCCCATATACCTTACCTTGGTCTTCAGCTGTGGTGGGCAAACCCTGTGAGCTCAGAGGAACCCAGCCCTTACAAAGTCCCACTTTAAATGAGTGCTGCTTTCTTTTCTGCTCTGCACCTTTCTCCAACACTGCTGGAACCCATTAAGGATATCCCCTTATTCAGTGCCTAAATGAAAACTAAAAGTGCAGGTTCTTAACAACTCTCAGTTAATTGGGGATTGTAGCTGATGCATAAAACATCCTTGCCTCCTGTCTTTTAGGTGCCCAGTTCCAGAGGCTTTCTGTGTGCTTCTCTTATCCCTAGGAGCAAACTCAATAATGCCCTCTGTATTACCACTTTTTCCTTCCTAGGTTCATTCTCCCTATTCCCTCCACTCCTGTTTCCTAGGATTCTCTCCCAAATAAACTGCTTTCCCAAAAACCCAGGTCTTTTCCCTACATTGTATCTTCTGTAGAATCTAAACTGAAAAGTTGTACAGAAAGGAAATCTGGGGGCACCTGGGTGGCTCATTGAGCGTCCAATTTTGGCTTGGGTCGTGATTTCGCGGTTTGCAGTTTGTGAGTTCGAGCCCTGCGACCGGCTCTGTGCTGACAGTTCAGAGTCTGGAGCCTGTCTTGGGATTCTGTGTCTCCCTCTCTCTCTCTGCCCCTCCCCTGCTTGCGCTGTCTCTCTCACTTTTTCTCAAAAATAAATTTAAAAATCTTTAAAAATTTAAATTAAAAGGTATCATTAAATGGGGTGCCTGGGTGGCTCGGTCGGTTAAGCGTCCGACTTGGGCTCAGGTCATGATCTCACAGTTCATGGGTTTGAGCCCCGTGTCAGGCTCTGTGCTGACAGCTCAGAGCCTGGAGCCTGCTTCAGATTCTGTGTCTACCTCTGTCTCTCTGCCCCTCTGCCCCTCCCCTGCTCATGTTCTGTCCCCCCCCCGAAATAAACAGCAAAAAAAGTTTTTTTAATGTATCATTAATCAAAATATTTGTTTTAAAGGCTTTACTTCCTGTAGTTCTATTTAGAGAGTTGGTAAATAACTACATCTGAAAGATGTTGCTAATACTGAGAAGTTTTTCTTTGAGAATTTAGGAAATAAATTTGCCTGCTTGTTTTTAGTGGACAGTTATTGCCAATCTACTATATAACAAATTGAAAGCTCTCATCACCTCACAAATATTACCAGTTAATGAAAATATTGTTCTATAAGAACATAACCCCCAAGAAGAGAACTTTTCATTCCTTTGGGGTTTACAGTTGGTATTCAGACCTAGAAGGAGACTGTGATATATACACCTTTTTAACAGTGTGTGAGGGCATGTTTGTACCTTTCTTGCTATTTCTTAATTTGGTCAAACTAGAGGGCTAATAGTTTGATTTTCAACTCAGTCCTTGTTGGACTGTGCTTAAAATAAAGTGTTTCAAATTTTGACTAAGTCTTGATATATTTAAACTTATAATTATTTTTTCTTTGTTAAAAAAAAAAAACACTTCTTAAATAGTAGAATCTCATAGTCTCACCTCTGGAGAGAATTTGGGTAGAATGATTATCTTCAAATTTGGTTGTTTTATTTATATTTTTCAGCCTATTCTGCCAAACAATTGCCTACATTTGAACATGAAGCAAGAGAACCTAAATCTTACCACTAAGGACATTGAGTGAAGCTACTTTGATAATTTTTGTTTACTCTTTTACCCTTACAATTATGTTAATGTCATCTATTTGGCATAGCATCCTCATACCATTCTTTATTGGAACTCATATTGCTGTTTCAGATTTCATATTAAAAGTGAGAACTTATTTAATGTTTTTAAAACGATAGTAGCAAGGGGTGCTTAGATGGCTCAGTAGGTTAAGCATCCAACTCTTGATTTTGACTCAGGTCATGATATCACAGTTGTGAAATCGAGTCCCACCTCTGCTTGCTGTCTTTCTCTCTCAAAAAACAAAACAAAAACAAAAAAAACCCCGTAGTAACCAGAAGTAATATCGTGGCTCAGTAATATACTCAGCTTATGAGGTGCCTGGGTGGTTCAGTCGGCCAAGCATCCATCTCTTGGTTTTGGCTCAGGTCACAATCTCACAGTTTGTGAGTTCAAGCTCTACATCGGGCTCTGTGCTGACAGCATGGAGCCTGCTTAGAATTCTCTCCCTCTCTCTCTCTGCCCCTCCCCTGCTCATGCTTGCTCTCGCTCTCTCTCAAAATAAATAAATAAACTTAAAATGTATATATATAGTCAGCTTATAATGTTTATTCAGAACATTTTGTAAAGACTTAAAACTTCAGAGAGGCTTCTAAGGTAGTTTCTTTAGCAACATTTTTGCCCTATAATTATAATTTTTTAAAATACAATATGCCTAGAACACATCCAAGTGAAGAAATAAAAATATTTATCTTGCTTGGTAATTTATGGTGCCATCTCACCTATCAACCCTTTTTTTATTGATTGATTTGCTTATTTTTGAGAGAGAGAGAAAGAGACAGAGTATGAATGAGGGAGGTGAAGAGAAAGAGGAAGACACAGAATCCAAAGCAGTCTCAGGTTCTGAGCTGTCCGCACAGAGCCTGACGCAGGGCTTGAACCCACGAGCTGTTAGATTATGACCTGAGTTTAACTCGGCCCAACCGACTGAGCCACCCAGGCACCCATACCCCTTTTTAATATAGGAAACTGATCAGTATGTAGAGATCCAAGAAAATAACAGGCAAGAAGCAGGCTTAAGTAACTTTGTGCCGCAAGGTCAAATTGCCCAAGGGTACCAGGATAATTAATGTTTGAATATCCAGCCATAATTGTCCCCTACCAGTGTGTTTTTGGTTTATAAACTGATAACTCCTACTTATGTGTGTTAGTTTCATTCAGCTTCACAAATCCATCTGTTTAAATTGGTGAAAATTTATTTGATTATCAAATCATCATAGTTAAAATGATATATCTATTTGCATAAAGGAGCTTTTAAAATTCTAGTTTAAACTTGATGCAACTTGACTTTATAATTTTGCTTATATTCATCTTTAAGTAATTTTAGATTACGCAGAAACTTTTAAAAGCCTGAGACATTTGTAAGTGAAGTTAACTTAATTCATCTTTTCCCTTGTTTTTAGTGGGAGATTTTGATAAGATCTGGCGAGAACATTGTGAGGATGAGGAAACACTTTGTGAATATGCTGTTGCAATGAAAAATTTGGCAGATAACCATTGGGCAAAAACTTGTGAGGGCGAAGGTCGTATTGAATGGTGTTGTAGGTGAGTGTTTTTATGAACTAACATTTTTGGTTTCTACTATATCGTTTAAAGTCTGAAATCCAAGTAATGCTTTGTATAATTTACTGTACCAAAATAGGACTGTTTTAAAACAGATTATTTTTTTAAATAACTTCTCCCCCTTGCCACACTTTCTCTAAGTTTATATCATTCATCCCTTTTTAATCAAAATGTTTTTCTTTGACATAACTTGAAGTTTTGTTTCAGCCTTTCAAAATTGTAGCTTTAAAAAATAAAAATAAAAGTATAGCTTTAAATGCATCAAATATACTTAAACATCAGTACATTTAAAATATGAGTTTTAACACTTAACTTCATTGATAAGTTATAGTATAGAAATTTCTTTTTATAATTCTCCATATTTGGATTCAAGTAAACGTGATTTTCTGTATTTTAAAATTTGAAAACCTCTTAAAAGTGTCAAAATCCTGAATTTTGGATATATAATTCAGAGTATTCCAGCACTTAAATTTACTTTGGATAATGCTTATTTTCTCATTGTATAAATTTAAGACATCAAAATGAAATACTCTTGGTCATTTCTCTTGGTAGTAAAATTATTAGAACAGATATATGTATTGATTGAATTTATAAATTGAATTCTCAGAAAACAAAACATTATCTTTCTGCATGGACAATGAATTTATGATAATATCTGGTTTATATTTCATTGCAGTTATTTTTTATCCAAAATTTCTGTTTTAATCTCATTTAAAAGTTGTTATAATGCATATTTCATTCATTCAACAAATAATCCAGAGAAAAATGCATATTTAATTTAGTTATTTTATTTATTCATTTAATAATTTTTAATGATTGTCCACAGTGTACTAGTCACATCACAGGCACTGGGAGTACAACAGTCAGCCAAACAAAATCCATGCTTTCATGGAGGTTACATGCTCATGAGGGTTAGAGGCAAGAAACATTACATAAATTAAAGATATGCTGGGTCAGATAATGGTAAGTCTCATAAGAAAAACAAAGCAAGGAAAAATAAAACAATTTTAAGTATGGTAGACAGGGTAGGCCTCCCAGAAATGATGCATGTAAAAAACATTAAAGAAGTGAGACAACAAGCCCTAGCAAGTCCAGGGGCCTTGAGGTAGGACTGTGCTGACATGTTTTTGAAACAGCAAGGAGACTAATGTGGCTAGAGCGAAACATGAGAAGAAGAGTGGTAGAAAATAAGATACTGACCAGCTAGATTTCGTAGGGTCTTGTAAACCATGGTTAAAGACATTGGCTTTTATTCTGTGTGAGATGAGTCACTGGATGTTTTAAGAAGAAGAGTAACAGGATTTTATTAACCTTTAAAGTGTGTCAAGAATTCTTAAGAATTAATTACTGTGTTAAGATAGACTATAGGAAGGGGAGTATGTAAATCAGGAAATCAGTTAGGAAGCTAATGTGATAATCAAGGTGCAAAGTTATAGTGAGGCAGTTTTCTTAGAGAGTGAGAAAGTGAATGGACAGAACAGTATAATAAAATTAATGCTCAAGTGAGTATAATGACTCAAGAGAAGGGGAAGGGAAATTGTATGTTGTAGTGATTATAGTGATACATAAGTAGGGAGTTGAAAATATGAGGTGAGTGAGGAGGAGTGAAAAGGTGTTATCAGTAGATTGCGGACCCCAAGAATTGTGGAGTTGGAGAAAGAAAGGAGCCAGAACAATAGGAAATAAGATTCTTGGAACTTAAATGTTTGGTGTTTTCTGCTTGGTTCTAGAGAGAAAAATCTCTCTTTTAGAAAATATACATTTTCTCCCTCAAGCTAAGAAATGCAAAATGTAATGTATTACTGAACCAGTTATTTCCCTTGTAACACGGAGTAATGACATAATCCAATCAGGAAATCAGCACCATCTCTATTTAAGACCATCATTCTTGGCTTTTAGCAGCACTGCTTTAAAATTAGTATTCGGGTATACCAGGCAAGCTCTCAGACTGCTTCTTAAATGGACTTTGATGTGTGATATTCTCATAGGAGCATTTGCTTATACCTTCCGTAAATAATCTGTGCTCACACTTCTCTCTTCCTTTTCCTTAGATGTGTGGTTGCTATCAATAGTTATTGTATCTACATGTGTTTGAAAAAGGTCATTTTTAAGTCAAACTGCTGAAAGGGAACATTCGTAAGAATTTAGGTCAAACTGCAGGAAAAGAACAGTGGCAAATATTGTAAAATAAATTTACTATGGAAAGTAATCCCATGAGGAGTTTTATAATGTCTTTACTTTAAACTTAAAACTAGCTTGAGAGAAAAGGCTACAAAACAGTTTTGAATTTTGAAACTTGATTTATCTATAATTTTAACTTGACTTTATAAAATTCCTTTCTCTATTGACAATTCTAAGAAAGCAGTAGTACTTTTGAGAGCTAAAGTGGGCTTTTAAAAGAGTTTGACAGAAGTTTCTGTTCAGTTAGTTATACTTAAAACTTCATAAGAATTTGGTATGTAAGGTAAGGCTTACTGACATTACCCTGCTAAGATTTTGTTGGCTGTTTAGCTTGAAGAATTCCACGTATGATTTCCTTCAAAAAATAATTAAATTTGATTTATAGCATGAAATACTAAAAACATAACACAAAGGCATAGCTGTATGATTAATAAAAATATTTGCTTTTTCTAACTCTTTGTACACACAGGGAAACAAACACAGTTTCCTGGATTTGCAAGTAAATTGCAGATAACATGATATTTCATTCCCACACATCTCCTAAGAATAAGGACATTCTTCAGCATAAGCATAATGCCATCATCACATTAAGATAATTAACAGTAATTTCCTCATTTCCTAAAATACTTAGTTCAAAAATTCAGATTTTTTTATTGTCCCCAAAATGTGCTTGTAATTTTTTTTTTTTTTAATCAAATTAGGTCTCATGCATTGCATTTGGTGGTTGTATTTCTTTAGGTTCTTGGTTTTGTTTCCCACAACATTTAGTTTTTTTGAGAAATGACAGTTTATTTGAAAAATATCCCACATTCTGTATTTTGTGGTTTTTGATTCAAGGTGGTTAATAGCACTGTTCAAATAATCTGTATGTCCTTACTGATTTTTCTTTTTGGCTTTTTGTTCTGTCAGTTACCAAGAGAGATTTTCAAGATACCATTTTTCTCAATTTTTGTATAATTACTTGGCTCATCTTTAGATTATTTAATTTTTCTCTTAAAGTTCTCTTAAATTTCATCTTTTTCTGAATTAGAAAGATTTATAGGGTTGCCTGGATGGCTCAGTAGGTTAGACATCCAACTCTTGATTTCTACTTAGGTCAGGATCTCACGGTTCATGAGACTGATGTTCTCTCTCCTTCTCTGCTCCTCACCCTTGTGCACACTCTCTCAAATAAACTTAAAAAAAAAATACTTATGGTAATTGTTATAAAGTCCTTGTTTGCTTATTCCAATATATGGTTTATCAAGATCTGTTTCTTTTGGCTGTTTTTTCTTTTGATTATGGATCATTTTTTTTCCTGCTTCATTATATGTCTGGTAATTTTTAAAAGTATATACTAGCATTATGTTTAAAAATTTTTTTTTAACACTTATTTATTTTTGAGACAGAGAGAGACAGAGCATGAACGGGGGAGGGGCAGAGAGAGAAGGAGACACAGAATCGGAAGCAGGCTACAGGCTCTGAGCCATCAGCCCAGAGCCTGACGCGGGGCTCGAACTCACGGACTGCGAGATCATGACCTGAGCCGAAGTCGGACGCTCAACCGACTGAGCCACCCAGGCGCCCCGCATTATGTTTAGAAGAGACTGACATAATATTAGTTTTTCCTAGAAAGGGCATGCTTTTTGTTTTGTTTTGTTTTTTCCCTCTAACAGGCAGCCAGTGAGACGGGGACACACTTTGATCCATCAGGGGTTAAACTGAGTTGAAGTTGAATTACATAGTTGCATTTCACTTGTGTCTTCAAATGCTTTGAGGGTGAGTCCTGTTTTATGTATATTACAGGCACAGTCCTCTAGCAAGACTCTGGGACCTAGGTCCACAGAAGACTGCAAAGAATTTTCCCTGCTTTTTAGTCCCACTCCAAGCCTCTAGTACTTCCCTTGCCTTTTTCATATTTGAAAATCAAGACCTATGGGGGCGGGGGGGGTGGGATGCAGGAATAGAACAGGGAGAACAATCTTTGCATTTGGGTTTCTTAAAGATTCCAGTCTGTCACACCATTCTAAGCAACCATTAAAAGCTCTGCTGGTTTCCCTTTAATCAAACAAAATCCTTCTACCCTGGAAGACATGATCCTTTGCTGCCTATACACCTTTTCAACAAATGTACAAAGTGCCTGTGATCTCTTCTCATCTAGGCCTTTCTTTAGTTCCTTTATACCTTTTGTATCCTCAGCTTTCTTGATTTCTTTTTAATACATTGTTTTTTTAGAGTGTATAGTTCTTTTTCCCCCCATAGCTACAGCATAACCAGGGGCCCTTTGTGATTTTCTATATCCTAATCCAAAACTAGTTTTGTGTCCTGTATTTTGGATTTATTTGATTGTTTTCTCATGGAGCCATTTATCTACTTTTCCAGTGTCCTTTATTTCTTATAAACTGATCTAAAGTGTTGAATCAGGTAACATAATTTTTGACAGAATATCTGTTAGGTGAAACTGCACACTTACTGCATTGCATTAGCAAGTTCTTATTGTCAGGTTACCTGCTAAATTTTGCCATTTGGTGTAGGTGGTCCTTCCATTGTAAACTTATATTTTCCCTTTGCAATTAGCAAGTAATATGTAGAGGGACATTTTGGCTTCTGGATCAATCCTGTCTCCTGACAGTCTGTCAGCTAACAGGTTTATTTCTGTTTATTAAATAAACTATTTCATTTGGGATTGCAGAGTGATTTTTTAATTTTTTTTTTTAATGTTTACTTATTTTTGAGAGAGAGAGAGAGAGAGAGACAGGGTGCGAGTGGGGAGGGATGGAGAGAAAGTGAGACACAGAATCTGAAGCAGGCTCCAGGCTCTG